ACACATTCAAGCAAAGCTAATTGAATCAAATGAATGTCAAACACATTCAAACAGAGCTTTTTGAATCAAATGAAAGTCAAATGCATTCATCAAAGCTAATTGATTCGAATGAAAGTCAAACACATTCAAATAAAGCTTTTTGAATCAAATCAAAGTCAAATGCACTCTACAAATCTAAACGAATCAATTAAAAGTCAAACACATTCAAACAAAGCTAGTTGAATCAAATGAAAGTCAAACGCATTTAAACAAAGCTTTTTGAATCCAATTAAAGTCAAACACATTCAAACAAAGCTAATTAAATCAAATGCAAGTCAAACACTTTCAAGCAAAGCTTTCTAAATCAAATGAAAGTCAAATGCATTCAACAAAGTTAATTTAATCAAATGAAAGTCAAACACATTCAAGCAGAGCTTTTTCAATCAAATGAAAGTCAAATTCATTCATCAAAGCTAATTGATTTGAATGAAAGTCAAACACATTCGAATAAAGCTTTTTGAATCAAATCAAAGTCAAATGCATTCTACAAAGCTAAACGAATCAAATAAAAGTCAAACACATTCAAACAAAGCTAGTTGAATCAAATGAAATTCAAATGCATTCAAACAAAGCTAATTTAATCAAATGAAAGTCAAACACATTAAAGCAAAGCTAATTGAATCAAATGAAAGTAAAACACATTCAAACAAATCTTTTTGAATCAAATGAAAGTCAAATGTGTTCAATAAAGCTAAATTAATCAAACGAAAGACAAACACAGTCTACCAAAGCTTTTTCATTAAAATCAAAGTCTAATGCATTCTACAAAACTAATTAAATCAAATAAAAGTCAAACACAATTAAACAAAGCTAATTGAATATAATGAAAGTCAAACACATTCAAGCAAAGCAATATGAATCAAATGAAAGTCAAACACATTCAAACAGAGCTTTTTGAATCAAATGAAAGTCAAATACATTCATCAAAGCTAATTGATTCGAATGAAAGTCAAATACATTCAAATAAAGCTTTTTGAATCAAATTAAAATCAAATGCATTCTACAAAGCTAAACGAATCAAATAAAAGTCAAACACATTCAAAGAAAGCTAATTGAATCAAATGAAAGTCAAACACATTCAAACAAAGCTTTTTGAGTCAAATAAAAATCAAACCCATTTAAAAAAAGCTAATTATATCAAATGAAAGTAAAACACATTCAAACAAAGCTTTCTGAATCAAATGAAAGTCAAATATATTCAACAAAGCGAATTAAATCAAATGAAAGTCATATGCATTGTACAAAGCAAATTGAATCAAATGAAAGTCAAAAACATTCAACCAAAGCTAATTGAATAAAATGAAAGTCAAACACGTTCAAACAAAGCTTTTTGAATCAAATAAAAGTCAAACACATTCAAACAAATCTAATTCAAGCAAATGATAATCAAACACATTCAAAAAAAGCTTTTTGAATCAAATTAAAGTCTAATGCATTCAACAAAGCTAATTGAATCAAATGAAAGTCAAACACATTCAAACAAATCTAATTAAATCCAATGAAAGTCAAACACATTCAAACAAATCTTTTTGAATCAAATGAAAGTCAAATGCATTCAATAAAGCTAATTTAATCAAATGAAAGTCAAACAGATTCAAGCAAAGCTAATTGAATCAAATGAAAGTAAAACACAGTCAAACAAATCTTTTTTAATCAAATGAAAGCCAAATGCATTCAATAAAGCTAATTGAATCATATGAAAGTTAAACACAGTGAACCAAAGCTTTTGGAATCAAATTAAAGTCTAATGCATTCAACAAAGCTAATTTAATCAAATGAAAGTCAAATGCATTCTACAAAGCTAATTGAATCAAATGAAAATCAAACACATTCAAACAAAGCTGATTGAATCAAATGAAAGTCAAACACATTCAAACAAAGCTAGTTGAATCAAATGAAAGTCTAACACATTCAAACAAAGCTAATTAAATCAAAGCAAAGTCAAACACTTTCAAACAAAGCTTTCTAAATCAAATGAAAGTCAAATGCATTCAACAAAGCTAAATTAATCAAATCAAAGTCAAACACATTCAAGCAAAGCTATTTGAATCAAATGAAAGTGAAACTGATGTGTAAGCAAGCTGAGAAACTTGTTTACAAATGGTCTTGAATGTGTGTTGTGTTTAGTTTAATTTAGAAGTATCAATGTGGAGTATTTAAGAAGGTTTAGGGGAACTCTCACCCTTAAGTTGAGGATATAACAGTGAGGAACACTCACTCACTTGTTTGGGCGTAGTAGTGATTAGGGAACTCTGACCTATTCGACAACTACCAGTTTAAGTTTTAGGAACTCTCACTAAAACACAAACTCTTCAAATTGAGGTAACTCTCAAATTTGGAAAATAAAACTGACTAGCACAAGCCAAATTTAGATCATACACTCGTGTGTTTTGGCAAATTTTCTGAATTTCTTTTCATTGATCATTGGCAAGCTATTTATAGCTTAAGTTACATCCCAAAAATTGCCTTTACAACTTACCAAAATAACAAAACAGAGATAAAAGGTAAATTAATTGGCTCATAACCGTCCAAATGAATCCCCATTACAACTAATTATTTCTCTAATTAAGGGAGCTTAAAACAAGGGAAGAATAGCTTAAAATAAGGGAAGAATGACTCCTAAAACGTTCAGCAAATTGACTCCAAAATGCTGTCCAAATTCGTCCTCCAAAGTAGCCTTGAAGTGTGCCTTTGTAACCTCCCAATTAAGCCTTCATTCAAGCTCCTTTATTACGAAATTAAACCAGCAAAACCCCGCTAATAATAACACTGAAATGTGAATATAAACCAGCTTGAAACTCTCCGTAAAGTATGCATTAAATCAGCTTAGATTCACGCCCAAAAATCCGCCCAACTTCCCTTCTTTCAAACGGATTGGAGTTGATGATTTTAAGGGGAAACAAACTAATTTAATTCATCCCATTACTGAGGTAATTAGTCACACTCAATACGGTGCAACCATTTGAGGAATTATATGGACCGTGCACGCCAAAATCCATAGGAGTAGCATCGAAGAAAGACTTGGACAAAATCAATTCCCTAACGTTCGACTCTTGGACTGGAATATTTGAATCATTCGAACCTTGACCACTTTGGTCATCCTCCCCTTATTCAAAGGGAATTGCCCTCAATTCTTCATCATTATAGTACGGTGCTAGATCCCCCACATTGAATGTGCTTGAGACGCCGTACTTTCCTCCCAAATCTACCTTGTAGGCATTGTCATTGATCTTTTCCACTATCTCAAATGGACCCTGGGCTCGTGGCATGAGCTTGTTCTTCCTTTGATTGGGAAACCTTTCCTTCCTCATGTAAATCCACACTAAGTCACCAACTTCAAAGCTTCTCACGTTTTTGACTCTCTTGTTGGCTTGCTTCTTATAGATTTCATTAGCCTTCTCGATGTTCTTCCTCACTTCTTTGTGGATTTTGACCATGAACTCTGCTTGTTCCTTGGCATCTCCATGCACGAACTTGTCTTGAGGCAAAACTATGAGATCAATTGGAACATAGGGATTAGAACCATAGACTACTTCAAAAGGAGAATACTTTGTAGTAGCACTAGGAGTTCTATTGTAAGAAAACTCGGCATGAGCAAGCTTGACATCCCAATCTTTGGTGCTCTTACTAACCAAGGTCCTAAGCAAAGAACCTAGCACCCTATTCACCACCTCGGTTTGGCCATCGGTTTGGGGGTGATGTGAGGTAGAAAACAGCAACTTGGTTCCCATAACACGCCACAAAGACTTCCAAAAATGACTTAGGAACTTTGTATCTCGATCTGAAACAATGGTGCGTGGGACTCCATGGAAACGAACAATCTCATCAAAATACAATTTCGCCACCTTCATAGCATCCTCGGTTTTATGACAAGGGACAAAGTGAGCCATCTTTGAAAAGCGATCAACCACAACCATGATTGAGTCCTTACCTCTTTGAGTTCTAGGTAAAGCCACAATGAAATCCATGCTTATGTCTTCCCAAGGTCTCTCCGGAATTTGCAATGGCTTGTAAAGACCCTTGTGAAACACCATCTTTGCCCTTTGACAAGTAGAGTAACGAGCTACAACATGGTGAACAGTAGATAGCATGTTAGGCCAATAAAAGTGAGCTTGAAGAAGCTCCATAGTCTTTTGAACTCCGAAATGGCCTGCTAGACCTCCTCCATGCGCCTCATGAATCAACAAGCTTCGAATTGGACATTTAGGAATGCATAACCTATTTCCCTTAAAAAGAAAATCATTTTGTAAGGAAAATAAATAATAAACTCCATTCACGCATTTCTCCAAAATGACCTTGAAATCATCATCTTCCTTGTAGTATTCTTTGATCAATTCAAACCCAAGGACTTTAACCTCAACGACTCCAAGTAAAGTATGCCTTCGAGATAAGGCATCCGCAACAACATTCGCCTTTCCACTCTTGTACTTGGATGAAAAGTTAAATGTTTGCAAGAATTCCACCCACTTCGCATGCCTCGAACTCAACTTCTTTTGGCCATGGATGAACCTCAAAGATTCATGGTCAGAATGAAGTATGAATGGTTGTGGCCTCAAGTAATGCGACCAATGATCCAAAGCTCGCACTATTGCATAGAAATCCTTGTCATAGGTGGAATAATTCAGCTTGCCTTGGCTCAATTTGTCACTAAAGTAGGCAATAGGACGCCCCTCCTGAATTAACATGGCACCAATCCCCTTTCCACTTGCATCACACTCAACTTCAAATGGTTTTGAAAAATCTGGAAGTGCTAGGATAGGTGTGTTGCACATTTTCTCTTTGATCACTTCAAACGCCTTTTGAGCTTGAGGAGTCCACTCAAACGAGCCCTTCTTTGTGCACTCGGTGATAGGGGCCATGAGAGTGCTAAAATTGCGAATGAACCTCCTATAAAAGGAAGCTAATCCATGGAAAGATCGGACCTCCGTGAGTGTCTTTGGACTAGGCCATGATTGAATAGCCTAAATCTTGCTAGGATCAACTTTCATGCCTTCACCTGAAATAATGTAACCGAGAAAAGTGACCTCATATAGCATAAAATTACATTTTTCAAGTTTTCCATACAATTTTTGTTCTCTCAAAACAGTGAAAACTTCAAACAAATGGACCAAATGCTCATCCCCATCTTTGCTATAGATAAGGATATCATCAAGGTACACCACCACGAACTTGCCAAGGAAAGGCCGCAACACCTCGTTCATCAACCTCATGAAAGTGCTAGGTGCGTTGGTGAGTCCAAATGGCATCACGAGCCACTCATACAAACCGTGCTTGGTTTTGAACGCGGTCTTCCATTCATCTCCTTCTCTCATCCGAATTTGATGATAACCACTTCTCAAATCAACTTTTGAAAACACCTTCGAGCCACTCAGTTCGTCAAGCATGTCATCTAGCCTTGGAATTGGAAACCTGTACTTGATAGTAATATTGTTAACAGCCCTACTATCAATACACATACGCCATGTACCATCTTTTTTAGGAACCAAAAGAGCAGGAACAGCACACGGACTCATCGACTCACGCACATACCCCATACTCATCAACTCCTCTATTTGACGTTGCAATTCCTTAGTTTCCAAAGGATTACACCTATAGGCAGGTTTGTTAGGTAAAGGAGCACCGGGAATGAGGTCAATTTGATGTTCAATTCCCCTCAAAGGTGGTAACCCTTCAGGTAACTCATCGGGAAAAACATCCTCAAAATCCTTAATCAATTGAGCCAATTTGGGGTTTTGACTCACAAAATTTTCGTGGACCTCTTTAGAGTACAACAAGTATAATTCATCCTTACCATCAATTTCCCTTTCAAATTCCTTAAGGGTAAGCAATGACACCTCCTTTGATTGTTTAGGATTTTGTGACAACCGTGGGGGTGGTAAGGGGTGCAATTTTTTTTGTTTTCCTTGGTGAGTTATAGTGTAAGTGTTATGGTACCCATCATGTTGAGATTTTCGATCAGTTTGCCAAGGTCTACCAAGCAAAATATGACAAGCATCCATAGACACAACATCACACAGTTGAGTATCATGATAAGACCCAATAGAAAAACTAATCATGCATTGTTTCCTAACCCCCGTACTAGAACTAGAGTCCAACCAACTCAACTTATAAGGATGTGGGTGATTTGTAGTTGTAAGACCAAGCCTAGTTACCAAGGTTTTTGGAAATTGTGTTTGCCTCACTACCACCATCAACAATTAAATCACATACCTCGCCTTTAATCTTGCACTTGGTGATGAAAATATGTTGCCTTTGTGGTGCTAAGGGTTCCTCAACGTGAGCTTGCAACGCCCTTCTCACAACCAGACTTGTTTTGGTCTCTTCTTCGGGGAAACATTGCTCTTCCTCCTCGTCCCCTTCAGTAGAATTCACGTCCTCCATTTCTTCAACCTCGAAATCCTCCCAATTGTTAATTTGGTTAGCAATAAGCTTTACCTCTTGCATGGTCAAAGCTCTTGAATTTGGACAATCCTTCTTGAAATGACCCCTTCCTCCGCACTTGTAACAAACAATGTCACTTATTTTGAAATCTTTCTTGTCCTTCTTAGGTGGATCGTTGGCTTTGACAAAAGAAGAACCATCCTTGATAGGATAGGTTGGTTTTCGTGCCACTTGAGGGGTGACAATCGGCTTCTTCTCCTTCCTTTTTGAATCAAACTTGATCATAAGTTTGCAAGCTTCAGCAAAGGTTAAATTGGTGTAACCTTCAAGTTTGTCTTGCAACTCTTGATCCAAACCAGCCACGAAACGTCCCATCTTGAGTTCTTCATTCTCCGTGACTTCAGACACGATAGCAAGTCTGTCAAACTCCTTGATGTAGTCCTCAGCCGATTCTCCATTTTGTTGCAAAGTGCTCCATTTCACATATTGACTTTGCTTGTAATTGTGAGGAATAAAACGATCCCTCATCCTCTTCTTCAACTTGCTCCAAGTAGAAACGGCCGCCTTACCCTTAAGAGCACGCCCCCTTTGCTCTCCTTGTAACAACTATCTCCATAGCCTTTCAACTCCACCTTGGCTATCTTGTATTTTTGGACCTCCTCTTGAATGTCCTTGAAGTCGAAGTACCTCTCCAAGGATTTCTCCCATTCCAAGTACTTTTCTGGGTCAAGTGTCCCATAAAAAGTAGGAACGTCCACTTTGAGACTCCTATCTTCCCTCCTAGGTGGAGGGTCTTCGCCTTGATCTCTCCTATCTTGCTCGTTCATGAGCCTTGCCATCAAGGCAGCAAGGTTCCCTTGTAGATTGGCGTTGGTTTCGGCCAACCTCTCTTGACTAGCAATGGATCGATTAAGAGCTTCCAAAGCTGTCCTCAAGTCTTGATTCTCTCCCATGGTATGTAGGTATTCGACCCCTTTGGAAGAATTTAAGAAAATTCCCCCCTACCTGACGCGCCAAATGATGTGTAAGCAAGGTGAGAAACTTGTTTACAAATGGTCTGGAATGTGTGTTGTGTTTAGTTTAATTTAGAAGTATCAATGTGGAGTAATTAAGAAGGTTTAGGGGAACTCTCACCCTTAACTTGAGGATATAACAGTGAGGAACACTCACTCACTTGTTTGGGCGTAGTAGTGATTAGGAAACTCTCACCTATTCGACAACTACCAGTTTAAGTTTTAGGAACTCTCACTAAAACACAAACTCTTCAAATTGAGGTAACTCTCAAATTTGGAAAATAAACCTGACTAGCACAAGCAAAATTTAGATCATACACTCGTGTGTTTTGGCAAATTTTCTGAATTTCTTTTCATTGATCATTGGCAAGCTATTTATAGCTTAAGTTACATCCCAAAAATTTCCTTTACAACTTACCAAAATAACAAAACAGAGATAAAAGGTAAATTAATTGGCTCATAACCGTCCAAATGAATCCCCATTACAACTAATTATTTCTCTAATTAAGGGAGCTTAAAACAAGGGAAGAATAGCTTAAAATAAGGGAAGAATGACTCCTAAAACGTTCAGCAAATTGACTCCAAAATGCTGTCCAAATTCGTCCTCCAAAGTAGCCTTGAAATGCGCCTTTGTAACCTCCCAATTAAGCCTTCATTCAAGCTCCTTTATTACGAAATTAAACCAGCGAAACCCCGCTAATAATAACACTGAAATGTGAATAAAAACCAGCTTGAAACTCTCCTTAAAGTATGCATTAAATCAGCCTAGATTCACGCCCAAAAATCCGCCCAACTTCCCTTCTTTCAAACGGATTGGAGTTGATGATTTTAAGGGGAAACAAACTAATTTAATTCATCCCATTACTGAGGTAATTAGTCACACTCAATACGGTGCAACCATTTGAGGAATTATATGGACCGTGCACGCCAAAATCCATAGGAGTAGCATCGAAGAAAGACTTGGACAAAATCAATTCCCTAACGTTCGACTCTTGGACTGGAATATTTGAATCATTCGAACCTTGACCACTTTGGTCAGAAACACATTCAAACAGAGCTTTTTGAATCGAAAAAAAGTCAAATGCATTCAATAAAGCTAATTGAATCAAACGAAAGTCAAACACACTCAACCACAGCTTTTTGATTCAAATTAAAATCTAATCCATTCTACAAAGCTAATTGAATAAAAAAAAGTCAAACACAATTAAACAAAGCTAATTTAATCAAATGAAAGTCAAACACATTCAAGCAAAGCTAATTGAATCGAATGAAAGTGAAATACATTCAAACAGAGCTTTTTGAATCAAATGAAAGTCAAATGCATTCATCAAAGCTAATTTATTCGAATGAAAGTCAAACACATTCGAATAAAGCTTTTTGAATCAAATTAAAGTCAAATGCATTCTACAAAGCTAAACGAATCAAATCAAAGTTAAACACATTCAAACAAAGCTAATTGAATCAAATGAAAGTAAAACACATTCAAATAAATCTTTTTGAATCAAATGAAAGTCAAATGCATTCAATAAAGCTAATTGAAACAAATGAAAGTCAAACATAGTGAACCAAAGCTTTTTGATTCAAATTAAAGTCTAATGCATTCAACAAAACTAATTTAATCAAATGAAAGTCAAATGCATTCTACAAAGCTAATTGAATCAAATGAAAGTCAAACACATTCAAACAAAGCTAATTGAATCAAATGAAAGTCAAACACATTAAAAAAAACTGATTGAATCAAATGAAAGTCAAACACATTCAAACAAAGCTAGTTGAATCAAATGAAAGTCAAACACATTCAAACAAGGCTTTTTGAATCAAATTAAAGTCAAACACATTCAGTCAAAGCTAATTAAATTAAATGCAAGTCAAACACTTTCAAACAAAGCTTTCTGAATCAAATGAAAGTCAAATGCATTCAACAAAGCTAATTTAATCAAATGAAAGTCAAACACTTTCAAGCAAAGCTAATTGATTAAAATGAAAGTAAAACACATTCAAACAAATTTTTTTGAATCAAATGAAAGTCAAATGTATTCAATAAAGCTAAATTAATCAAACGAAAGTCAAACACAATCAACCAAAGCTTTTTGATTAAAATTAAAATCTAATGCATTCTACAAAGCTAATTGAATCAAATAAAAGTCAAACACGCTCAAACAAAGCTTATTGAATCAAATAAAAGTCAAACACATTCAAACAAAGCTAATGGAATCAAATGATAATCAAACACATTCAAAAAAAAGCTTTTTGAATCAAATTAAAGTCTAACACATTCAACAGAGAGCTAATTGAATCAAATGAAAATCAAACACATTCAAACAAATCTAATTAAATCCAATGAAAGTCAAACACATTCAAACAAATCTTTTTGAATCAAATGAAAGTCATATGCATTCAATAAAGCTAATTTAATTAAATGAAAGTCAAACACATTCAAGCAAAGCTAATTGAATCAAATGAAAGTAAAACACATTCAAACAAATCTTTTTGAATCAAATGAAAGTCAAATGTATTCAATAAAGCTAATTGAATCAAATGAATGTAAAACACAATCAAGCAAAGCTAATTGAATCAAATGAAAGTAAAAGACATTCAAACAAATCTTTTTGAATCAAATGAAAGTCAAATGCATTCAATACAGCTAATTGAATCAAATGAAAATCAAACACTGTGAACCAAAGCTTTTTGATTCAAATTAAAGTCTAATGCATTCTACAAAGCTAATTTAATCAAATGAAGGTCAAATGCATTCTACAAAGCTAATTGAATCAAATGAAAGTAAAACACATTCAAACAAAGCTGATTGAATCAAATGAAAGTCAAACACATTCAAACAAAGCTAGTTGAATCAAATGAAAGTCAAACACATTCAAACAAAGCTTTTTGAATCAAATTAAAGTCAAACACATTAAAACATAGCTAATTAAATCAAATGCAAGTCAAACACTTTCAAACAAAGCTTTCTAAATCAAATGAAAGTCAAATGCATTCAATAAATATAATTTAATCAAATGAAAGTCAAACACATTCAAGCAAAGCTAATTGAAATAAATGAAAGTGAAACATATTCAAACACACTTTTTGAATCAAATAAAAGTCAAATGCATTCAATAAAGCTAATTGAATCAAACAAAAGTCTAACACAGTCAACCAAAGCTTTTTTATTAAAATTAAAGTCTAATGCATTCTACAAAGCTAATTGAATCAAACAAAAGTCAAACACAATTAAACAAAGCTAATTTAATCAAATGAAAGTCAAACACATTCAGGCAAAGCTAATTAAATTAAATGAAAGTCAAACACATTCAAGCAAAGCTAATTGAATCAAATGAAAGTGAAACACCTTCAAACAGAGCTTTTTGAATCAAATGAAAGTCAAATGCATTCATCAAAGCTAATTGATTCGAATGAAAGTCAAACACATTCAAATAAAGCTTTTAAAATCAAATTAAAGTCAAATGCATTCTACAAAGCTAAACGAATCAAACCAAAGTAAAACACATTCAAACAAAGCTAATTGAATCAAATGAAAGTAAAACACATTCAAATAAATCTTTTTGAATCAAATGAAAGTCAAATGCATTCAATAAAGCTAATTGAAACAAATGAAAGTCAAACATAGTGAACCAAAGCTTTTTGATTCAAATTAAAGTCTAATG